TCCCACTTCTTGGAATGTGGGCTCCTCTAGAGGAAGAGAGGGTTCACTGTTTTCCTCTTTTCACAAATCCCAGCACCTAGGCAAGCCTGCCACGTGGTGGGTGCCCCGCCGGTGTCCACTTAACAAATGCTTAAGTGGGTGGGGGAGCCGGGGTCTGAAGGTCCACGGGGATTCAGACCACATTGTTTACTGAGTGACCGCGCGTGGCAGCCCTGGGCCAGACCCCTGACACTGAGGGCAGCCCAGCCCTGGGAGTGAGGGCCAGGGCAGGAGCAGGACGGACTGGGGAGGGGGTGCCCGCAGCCACTCACCCTCTCACTGTTCTGTCTCCAGGGCTTCGCCTGCAGGAGCCACAGGAACCGTGAGTACATCTCAGCCCGGGCACGCTCAGGGCCTGACTCCCCCGTGCCCCTCTCAGTAGACCCAGGTCCACCCAGGCCCCCAGGGCCTCTTTGTCCACTGTGGCAGGCAGGTCTGTCCTGCACTGTCCCCAGCAGCCGGGGTTCCCCTTCTGAGCAGGGCGAGCCGCCATCACTCACCTATGGGTGTGGGGCCCTGTACACACAGGTCACCCTGGCTCCTGCCCAGAAATGGGTCAGCTGCAGATAGAGTCCCGCTCCTCCATTTAACTCACAATGCCACGATGCGTTCCAAACCCCGGCCCAGCTGCCATCCCACCAGCAGCAGGTGGAAACCCCTGTCATCCAGCAAACCTTTTCCCTCTGTAAAGTGATCCCTCCTGGGCTTTGCACAAATACCTTGGTTGTCTTTGTAAACAGCGTACATATTTATAGAAGGACTCTGAGTGATGCCGTCGGTACGGGAAGTTGACACTCACTGGAAAGCCCCCACGTAGACAGAAACAGTGCTCACCTAGACAAACATTGCTGTAGCGATTTGGAGTTTTTTCTTATTATTTTTGCCTTTTTTTTTTTTTTTTTGAGACAGAGTTTCGCTCTTGTTACCCAGGCTGGAGTGCAATGGTGCGATCTCAGCTCACTGCAACCTCTGCCTCCTGGGTTCAGGCAATTCTCCTGCCTCAGCCTCCCGAGTAGCTGGGATTACAGGCACGCGCCACCATGCCCAGCTAATTTTTGTATTTTTAGTAGAGACGGGGTTTCACCTTGTTGACCAGGATGGTCTCGATCTCTTGACCTCGTGATCCCTTTTTATCAGAAGAGAGACGAGGTCTCCCTATGCCTGGTTGGTCATCCAAACCCTGGCTGTTCCCAAACTCCTGGGCTCAAGCGTTCCCCCTGCCTCAGCCTCCCGAAGGGCTGGGATTATGGGCGTGAGCCACCCCACCCAGCCCGTTCTAGACTTTTGTGTATGCAAATATACAGATGTTGGCAGAATAAACAGATAAAAATTATTTTATAGAAATTACCTTAGATCATTTAAAGCATTTTATGTATTTTCACTTGAATTTAACAGAAAAATAAAGAGATGGCTAAACTTCAATTAAATGTTTCTTCACCTTAGGGCCGGGCGCGGTGGCTCACGCCTGTAATCCCAGCACTTTGGGAGGCCGAGGCGGGTGGATCACGAGGTCAAGAGATCGAGACCATCCTGGCCAAGATAGTGAAACCTCGTCTCTACTAAAAATACAAAAAAATTTAGCCAGGCATGGTGGTGCATGCCTGCAATCCCAGCTACTTGGGAGGCTGAGACAGGAGAATCGTTTGAACCCAGGAGGCGGAGGTTGCGGTGAGCCAAGAAGGCACCATTGCACTCCAGCCTGGGTAACAAGAGCGAAACTCCGTCTCAAAAAAAAAAGATTCTTCGCCTCAAGGACCTCTAAGCTTAAAATGGGAGATTAGATCAGCCTGGCCCTGTGCAAGGATGACACGTAAGTTTACTAAGCGCTTCATATTAACAAGCAACAATACATACAAAGCATGGCAGGGCGCGGTGGCTCACACCTTTTATCCCAGCACTTTGGGAGGCTGAGGCAGGCAGATCACCTGAGGTCAGGAGTTCCAGACCAGCCTGGGCAACATGGTGAAACCCCACCTCTACTAAGAATAAAAAAAAAAAAAAAAAAATTAGCCAGGCGTGGTGGCACTTGCCTGTAGTCCCAGCTACTTGGGAGGCTGAGGCAAGAGAATCACTTGAATCTGGGAGGCAGAGGTTGCAGTGAGCTGAGATTTTGCCACTGTACTCCAGCCTGGGCGATGGAGTGAGATTCTGCCTCAAAAACAAAAACAAAACCAAAAAAACCTCTTCAGTATTTCTAATGGATTTCCTATCTAGTCTAAGTTTTTTAAAATAGATGATCACGTATTCTGCAGCTAATGACATCTTGTAAACCTGTATGTTGGGCAGAGGGGGTGGATTTTGTGGAATTGACTCAGCTGTCCAGGGCAATGCGGAATGAGGGAATTCCTGTCTGAGTCCTGGTACTAATGGTAATGGTTCCAAAGGTTTACTGTTCAGTATTCGTTTATGGGATGTTTGCACTAGATTTACACAAAGAGGTGTCTTTCTTTTCCTAGTTTGCTGAACATTATTTTATCATGAATAGGTGTTGAATTGTATGAAGCATTTCTGCGCCTATGAAAAGTATGTTTTCTACCTTTTTTTGAGATGGAGTCTCACTCTTGTTGTCCAGGCTGGAGTGCAGTGCTGTGATTTTGGCTCACTGCAACCTCCGCCTCCTGGGTTCAAGTGATTCTTCTGCCTCAGCCTCCCAAATAGCTGGGATTACAGGCACCTGCCTCCATACCTGGCTAATCTTTGTATTTTTAGGAGAGACGGGGTTCACCATGTTTGTCAGGCTGGTCTCAAACTCCTGACCTCAGGTGATCCACCCATCCTCGGCCTCCCAAAGTGCTGGGATCACAGCTGTGAGCCACCCTGCCCAGCCCCAGAGTGTTTTTAAAGACAGAGTGGTCCTCAGCCTCCTCCTCTGTCAACACCAGTTTGAATTCCCGATTCCCCACCAGGTTTTCCCAGTCCCTGCGCTTGTGGCTGCCTCTGTAACCCATTTGTTCCTGTTGAGCCCCTTCTCCCTCCTGAAGTGAGCACATCTGTTAGGCACTCTTTCAGGAAGACTCCGTGGGTGTTATCTGTGTGCCTTATTTTGGGTAAGGCAAAACATATTTATTTCTAAGTGTTTATGATGAATTTTAGTTTCACAGTTATTTCCATGCAGTAACAATGAATTCTGTTCAGTGCCACATCGTTTGGGTGTTTCTGCTTCACCCGCCCTTCCCTCTACACACCCTCCTCTTCATTTTGTCAGCATAGTTGGGAGAAGAGCCCGTTCTTATTTTATACACTTTATTTTACAATGAGCAGCTTCTCCTTCTGCACCCCTTTCACTAACTCTGTATATGTCCTCATTGCTCGTACTCACCGTGAGTCCTTCTCCTCCGTGGCTTCACCAATTTTTTTTTTTTTTTTGCTTTCTGGTTTTGATTCCTTTCTTGGTTAGCTGGAATAGACCTTTGCCTTTTCTCCAGAAAGGGTCAAAAGATACAGGTTTCTCATTTCTTGCATAAAGGAGCTTGTCTTTTTTTTTTTTTTTTTTTTGAGAAGGAGTCTTGTTCTGTCACCCAGGCTGGTGTGCAGTGGTTTGGTCTCTGCTCACTGCAGCCTCCGCTTCCCGGGTTCAAGTGATTTTCCTACCTCAGCCTCCTGAGTAGCTAGAACTACAGGTGTGCGCCACCACACCCTGCTCATTTTTGTATTTTTAGTAGAGACAGGGTTTCCCCATGTTGGCCAGGCTGGTCTTGAACCCCTGACCTCTGGTGATCCATCTGCCTCAGCCTCTCAAAGTGCTGGGATTAAAGGGGTGGTTTTCGTCTTTTTGGCCTCACACATATGGATGACAACACAGACACTGAATCCTAAGGCACAGTCATTTCTCTGAAGATTGCTGCATGCCAAGCCCTGGGTACGATTCTCCGAGGGAAGGAAACACCAGCCTTGGGGCCACAGCTCCCCACTCCCCGCTCCCCAGCATGACCCAGCTTCTTATCCCCAAACCATCAGACTTCATTTATTTTTAAATTTTCAATCTGTAGTTATTCTTTACTAGTATATAGAAATACAGGGTTTGGGAGGCTGAGGTGGGTGGATCACTTGAGGTCAGGAGTTCAAGACCAGGCTGGCCAACATGGGGAAACCCCATCTCCACTACAAATAAAAAAAATTAGCCAGGCATGGTGGCAGGTGCTGTCATCCCAGCTACTCTGGAGGCTGAGACAAGAGAATCGCTTAAGCCCAGGAAGCAGAGGTTGCAGTGAGCTGAGATCGCACCACTGCACTCCAGCCTGGGCAACAGCGAGACTCCATCTAAAAAAAAAACAAACCCAAAACCAAAACCAACCAACCAACAAAAAAGAAATACAGTGAATTTTTTTCTTTTTTTTTTTTTTTTGAAGCTGAGTCTTGCTCTATTGCCAGGCTGGAGTGCAGTGGCACAATCTCAGCTCACTGAAACCTCTGCCCACCAGGTTCAAGCAATTCTCCGGCCTCAGCCTCCCAAGTATCTGGGACTACAGGTGCCTGCCACCACACCCAGCTAATTTTTTTGTATTTTCAGTGGAGACGGGGTTTCACCGAGTTGGCCAGGCTGGTCTCGAACTTCCAACCTTGTGATCCGCCCACCTCGGCCTCCTGAAGTGCTGGAATTACAGGTGTAAGCCATTGAGCCCAGCGAAAATATCTCACATAATTACCACAGTTACTATTTATGATATCTTTATTCCTTCGGTGCCCTTTTCATATGGGTCTTCTGGTGAAAATTCTTCCAGCTTTTGTCTGCAAAAGAAACCTTTACCCTTAATTTGGAAAGGTGTCTTTTACATGGAATAGAATTTTCTCTTTATCATTGGTTTTTAGGCAAATTCATTATAGTATGCCTTGGTGTCATTTTATTCGTGTTTCTTATATTTAGCCCTCATTGATTTTCTTGGATCTGTGACTTCCGTAGTTTCATCAAGTTAGGAAAATTTCTATCATTTTTTTTTAGTTTAAATTTTTTTTTTATTCAGTCTCCATAGAGACTGTCAGAAATTGCCAATGCCGACTATATTTCAAGTCCTTGCGGCGAGGTATTGGGAAAAGTTTTCAATAAGCAATAATCGCACCTTGGATAAACCTCACTGGCTAGGATACCGCCACTGCGCAAAGCTGAGCTTTTAAAATGTCTTCCTTTCCTTCAGGGACTCCAGTTATACACATGTGAGGTCACCTCAGACATTGTGGTTTTTGGTTCTAGAAGTTGGATTTGGTTTTTTTTTTTTTTAATATGTGTCCTATGTCTATAATTAACTTTTGAATGTATGGAATACATTAATAATTGTATTAATATTCTTGTCTACTTTTTTTTTTGAGTCAGAGTCCCCTTCTGTCACCCAGGCTGGAGTACGGTGGCATGATTTTGGCTCACTGCAACCTCTGCCTCCTGGGTTCAAGCAATTCTCCTGCCTCAGCCTCTCGAGTAGCTGAGATTATAGGTGTGCGCCACCACACCCGGCTAATTTTTATATTTTTATAGAGACGGGGTTTCACCATGTTGGTCAGGCTGGTCTCGAACTTCTGACCTCATGATCTGCCCGCCTCAGACTCCCAGAGTGCTAGGATTACAGGCGTGAGTCACCGCGCCTGGCCTTACCTTACCTCTTTAAAGCCCCTGTCTCTAAGTACGTACAATCACGTAGTGAGGTACTGGGGCTGAGAATTCCACAGGTGAATTTGGGTGGGGAGGCAGGTTGGCCAAAAACAACAAGCATAACCACGGCCACTGAGTGAGGCTCAGGCACTTCTGTTAGAGAAAATGACACCAGGGCGGTGCCATGACAGGACAAACCCTACGAGACACAATATTGTATAATAAACAATTTGTGGGAGGGAATCTCTAAATCTTCAGAATTTTCTCAGCAATAGGAATGTCTTTGTTATCCGTGGGCCCCTTTGAAACAACCTGAGTGTATGCCAAAGGCAGAGGGTTCAGGATGGGGCTGGCCCTAGGAAGACCAATCATGTGCTTGGAGGGCTGGGGTTTGATCCAGCTGGAACTCCGCAGAGGCAGGGGGGCTGTAGAGCATGTGCATTCCAGTGGCCAATCATGGATCAGTCGTGCCTAGACGGTGCAACCCCAAGCCCGGTGGAGCTTCCAGATTGGTCAGCACATCAGTGTGCCTGGAGGGCGCTGCATCCCGATTCCACAGGGAGAGGGCAGGGACGGTCCCCATCCAGGACCTCCGAGGCCTCTCCCCACGTGGCTCCTTACTCTGCTGTTCTTGCTGTATCCTTTGTAATTGAACTGTAACTGTATGTGTAGTGCTTTCCTGAGTTCTGAGTCATTCTAGCGAACTATGAAGCCTGATGGGGTCCCCGGGAATCTTCCCGACGTTTACTCAGTCTGTCAGAGGTGCAGATGTCCTGGGGACCCTGCTTGTGGGTGGCGTCTGCAGTGGGGAAGTCTTATTAGGGCCCATATTCTTTTATTTTTATTTATTTATTATTTTTTTTCAGGGCTCGTATTCTGAAAGCTGTGGAGCTGATGCTCATCACCGTGGGTGGTTGGTGTCGGAAGTGAGTTGCCGCAGGCCGGGCACTGTCTCTAAGCTGTTAGAACCGGTGGTGATGTCGGAAGACCGTCAACTCCACAAAAGTCCAGCAGGGCACAAATTTACCTGATGGTGTCCGGAGGCTTGAAATCATCGCCAGAGTCTACATATAACATGTAGAGTTAGAACAGAGACTCCTACTCTCCTTTACACCTAATCGGAGTACCTGAGAGGCAAAGAGAGTTTTGTCTTGTTTGAGACAGGGTCTTGCTGTCACCCAGGATGGAGTGCAGTAGCATGATCTGGCTCACTGCAACCTCCACCACCCAGGTTCAAGTGATTCTTTGCCTCTCCTCCCAATTAGCTGCAGCTATAGAAGCAAACTACCATGCTCAGCTAATTTTTTTTTTTTTTTTTTTTTTTTTTTTGTATTTTTCGTGGAGACGGAGTTTCACCACATTGGCCACATTGGTCTCCCTACGTTGCCCAGGCTGGTCTCAAACTCCTGACCTCAAGTGATGCACCCACCCCAGCCTACCACAGTGCTGAGAGTGATTACAGGTGTGAGGCACCGCGCCTGGCCAACAGTTTTAGCTCAATGCGCTTTCTGAATTCATCTGGGAGGTAATGCTGCGGTATGATGTGAAGAGCTGGATTCAAATCTAGTTATTCCAGGTCCTTCGCCAAATTGCTCAAGTCTCTTTGGGTGTCAGGTTTCCTCGGCCTTAAATCAGGATAAATGCCTGGGCGTCTCCCAGATTTGTACCCAGTCTGTCAGAAGTACAGATGTCCTGGGGACAGAGCATCCAGCAAATATTAGACATAATATCTCATAACCCAAATGCCCATCAACAGTGGAATGGATAGATTGTTTGTGGCATATTCACACATGGGACAAAAGCAACGAGAATGTGCTGGGTGTGGTGGCTCACACCTATAATCACAGCACTTTGGGAAGTTGAGGCAGGAGGATCACCTGAGCCCAGGAGTTCAAGACCAGCCTGGGCAACGTAGGGAGACCCTGTCTCTGGGGGGGAAAAAGAGCGAAAAGTATAAAATAACATGTACAATATGGGTGAATTTTACATAATGTTGAACAAAAGAGATAGGCACACTGTACCTTTACATAAAGTTCAAAAACCAGGTGCATCAAATCCGTGCTGTTAAGGGCCAGGTATGTGGCTATCCTTGGGGTGCAGCTGGGACTAATGGCTGGGAGCGTCTGCAATGTTGGTAATGTTCTGTTTCTTGAGCTGGGTGTGATTACACAGGTGTGTCCACTTGGTGAAAATCCAACAGGCAGCGTATTTAGGATTTGTGCTCTTTTATGTACGTAGTAATTACAAAATAAACAACATCCAGGCTGGGCATGATACCTTCCACCTGTAATCCCAAGGACTTTTGGAGGCTAAGGCAGGAGGATCACGGGAGCCCAGGAGCTCCAGACCAGCCTGGGTAACATGGTGAGAGACAAAACTTCTTTTTAATTTTTTTTTTTTTTTGAGGTGGAGTCTTGCTCTGTTGCCTAGGCTGGAGTGTAGTGGCGCGGTCTTGGTTCATTGCAACCTCCACCGTCCGGGTTCAAGTAATTCTTGTGCCTCAGGCTCCCAAGCAGCTGGGATTATAGGCATGTGCCACCACACCCAGCTACTTTTTTTTTTTTTTTTTTTGTATTTTTAGTGGAGACAAGGTTTTGCCATGTTGGCCAGGCTGGTCTTGAACTCCTGACCTCAGGCGATCCACCTAACTTGGCCTCCCAAAGTGCTGGGATTACAGGCGTGAGCCACCGTGCCTGACCTTGCAAAACCTTTTTAAAAGTTGGGTGTGGTGGTGTGTGCCTGTAGTCTGAGCTACTCAGGAGGCAGAGGTGGAAGGATCATTTGAACCCCTAGGAATTCAAGGCTGCGGTAAGCCATGACTGTGTCACTGCACTCCAGCCTGAGTGACAGAGCAAGACTGTCTTTTAAAAAATACATACATAGGCTGGGCACAGTAATAACGCCTGTAATCCCAGCACTTTGTGAGGCTGAGGCGGGCGGATCACCTGAGGTCAGGAGTTTAGGACCAGCCGGACCAACATGGAGAGACTTTGTCTCTACTAAAAATACAAATGAATTTATTCGGACATGGTGGCACATGCCTGTAATCCCAGCTACTTGGAAGGCTGAGGCAGGAGAATCACTTGAATCTGGGAGGCAGAGGTTGTGGTGAGCCAAGATCACACCAATGCATTCCAGCCTGGGCAACAAGATCGAAACTCCGTCTCAAAAAAACCGAAAAACCCATACATAATGGCCAGTCATGGTGGCTCATGACTAATCCCAGCATTTGGGAGGCAGAGGTGGGTGGATCACCTGAGGTCAGGAGTTTGAGACCAGCCTGGCCAACACGGTGAAAACCCGTCTCTACTAAAAATATAAAAGCCAGGTGTGGTGGCATGTGCCTGTAATCCCAGCTACTTGGGAGGCTGAGGCAGGAGAATCCCTTGAACCCAGGAGGCGGAGGTTGCGGTGACCCAAGATCGCATCACTGCACTCCAGCGTAAGCAACAGAGTGAGACTCTGTCTCGAAAAAAAAAAAAAAAAGAGGAAAGTCCAAGTGAATATGCCAAGGAGCACACTGGGCAGGGAAAGAATCATCAGTGCACAGGGAGGAGTAGAATGGGGCCAGGAGAGAAGGGCACAGACTGGGGGGCTTTGCATTTACGCTCTTCCACTGACCAGGCAGGTCACTTAACCACTCCGAGCTTCAGCCTCCTCATCTGATGATTAAATGACCTACGTGAAGCTGCCGTCTGGGCACCCAAGGAGCTGCACGCACGGGACAGCTCAGCAAGCTGTAAGCACGGTGGTGAGGAGGTGGGAGCCCCATTGCCTTGCAGTTAGCAACCTCGTCCAATGGACCTATTCGTGGCTTCAACTGTGATGGCCAAGGTGACAGGCAGGCTGGTACTGGCATGGTCAGCAGGCAGCTGCAAAGAGAGGCTCTCCACAGCCCCGGACACCTCTGCATTCGTCAGCTGAAGCTTTCCACGTTGCTCTAGAAAACCAACTCTCCAAGAAACGCCGTTCACAACTTGCCTTCAAGGCAATCATTGCAGTTACAGCTGCCACGTCCTCACGTTAAGCTCATCGCTGGTGACGATGGTGGCAAGACAGTGGTGCCAAATACGGTTTTCCTGAGTGACCTTAAGAAAATTAAGCTAATGGCAGTTTTACATCTTACGGAAGCTGTTCTTATCTATTAACTGCCAACTTCTCATCCCGGACATTTCAGGAAACGCAGCAGGAAATTTTCTTTTTAATTTTTGTGGGTACATAGTGTAGGGTACATGAGATTTGTTTTTGTTTTCATTTTTGAGATGGAGTTTCATTCTTGTCACCCAGGCCGGAGTGCAATGGTGCAATCTTGGCTCACTGTAACATCCATGTCCTGGGTTTAGGTGATTCTCCCACCTCAGCCTTCCGAGTAGCTGGGACTACAGGCACCCACCACCACTCCCAGCTAATTTTCGTATTTTTAGTAAAGATGATGTTTTACCATGTTGGCCAGGCTGGTCTCGAACTCCTGACCTCAGGTGATCCCCCTGCCTTGGTCCCAAGATGCTGGGATTCCAGGCT